GTTGTAGTAGTGGTACACTTGGTGTTGGGATAATCCGCTTTAGAGAGGCTCGTCATCACCAGGCCCTCATGGTCCTGTAGCATCGATGTCGGAAGGAGGCCTGGATGATGGGGCACCAGCTGAAGCAGCATCCTGATGCTGATCTCAAGAAGGTTAGTTGGTGCGGTTTGGGCCTGGTGGTAGAGAAGGATGGAATCTTTTGTTGAGCGCCGAGATTGAGAGGCTTCATGTTCGTCGCGAATATATCACCAAACTCAAGGCGGCTAGTCTTGCTAACGTGGCCAAGGATGACCGCAGATGTGGAGACATCTTGTGCCCTGAGGGATCCGCGTTAGACGGTTGAAGGCGGGTCAGCAAGTGTTCATGGAGCAGGGACCGGAGCTAGGTGGCCACAGTCAGGATTTCCTACACCGTGTGGTGCCTTAGGGGAGTGCCATCATCGAGAGGGCCATGGCACAGTAGGTTAACAACAGATGAACTGTTTTGTTGTCTGTAGTAGCATTCAGATGCTGCAGAGGTAAGCTCGAACAGCACAGCAATTTGTCGGGTAGGAAGATCCGATAATTACGGCGAATGCTATTCGGCGTGTATTCCATGACCACCACCACCACCACCACGCTTCTATCCTCGCAGTTGCAGGGCCTGTGTTGTGTTGAAGAGTGGATGTATGGTTCAGTTGCCGTTATGTCTCATCACAGTCTTAACCCCTACGCCTCGGATGCTAAGGACAGTACAAGTAGTCCTAAGCATAACGAGCTTGATGCCTTCCGGATTGATGTATCCCACCAGGAGATGTCAATGATCATGTTGGAGTTGGAGAAGTTCTGCTCCACATGTCCTGAGGTATTTCGTGGCGCGTGACGGACAGCTGTGTGGTAGAGGATCGCGTGTAGGATACTTGGATTCCCCTTGATGATGGTATTCAGTGGTTGTGTAATAGCTTGGGTTATGAGGATAAGGATGAGTTCGAAGATGCTATCAAAGGTGAGCTGCTATACATCACAATTAGTGCCTCGCTGGTTGATGCCAATGCTGAAATCTCCTTTTCTTCACATAGGTAGCTTCAGGGACTTCCTGTCAAAGTTGCCTCAGTTTGAGATGGAGGAGCAGCAGGATGGCAAGTGGTACTTTAAGCCTATTGCATTGAAGGAGGAGTGAGCCACCAATAGGAAGGAAGATACTGAGCGAATAATGGATACTTCCAGTCAGGATAAGTCTACGTGGGGCCGACCTCAGAAGATGATACTACACATCATGGATCGAAAGCAGTTGTGGACCACCTTCTTGAAGAGCTCCTATGCTCACGTCGAGATACCTGAGATTGAGTTCGAAATCGGCGCTGATATGACCAGACAAGTTGACACTATCTACAACTTCATCGCTGCCGCCGC